TATATTTGTGTGATATATTTCAACTTGTATTTTTAGGAATCTGGGGTATAGGTGTTGCAACTCAGAAAGTTAACTTGAACCAGATTCCTCTTGGCCGCGACATGCATAGTCTGGTGATGAGAAATGATGGAGCCCTGTACCACAACAATGAAGAAAAAAACAGACTGCCAGCAAACAGCCTTCCTCAGGAGGGAGATGTAGTGGTGAGTCTCCTGGTAGAGTTCCTGTCCATTGTAAATTATTAAACTTGAGTTGTTTTGACTAGACATGGTTTTACATGGCGTGTTGTAATTTTCATTCCAAAGCCCTGGGGTTGGGTCTAATGAGGTAGTACCATTTTCAGAGAGAACACTTGCCAGATACTGCTACCTCAGCTTCACTGCCCAGGCCTAGGATATGGAGATGACTGACCCTGTATTTCCATGTAGCAAGATCATTTACAGATTGGCTGCTAAGCAATATCCTACTGTCACAGACAAACCTTGACACATAGTTTTAAAAGCTTTTCTGATCATATTACAGGATGTTAGGTATTTTTTGAGGCCAGAGATCTCTCAAAATATTTTACACTTATTAATGGTAGGAACTGTGGTAGTTTGAATGTTATTGCCCCCATAAGCTCGTAGGGAGTGGCACTATTAGGAGGTGTGGCTTTGTTGGAGTGGATGTGGCCTTGTTGGAGGAAGTGAAGGAGGGTGTCACTGTGGAGGTCGGCTTTGAGGTCTCATATATGCTCAAGCCACATCCAGTGTCTCAGACCACTTTCTGTTGCCTTAGGGTCAAGATTCAGGATTCTTAGAGTTTTCTCCAGCACCATGTCTGCCTGCACACCACCATGTTGCACCAATAATGGACTAAACCTCTGAAAATGTTAGCCACCCCAGTTAAATGTTTTCCTTTATAAGAGTTGCTGTGGTCATTGTGCCTCGTCACAGCAATAGAAACCCTAACTAAGACAAACATATTAGAAATGACAGCATTTTACTGCAAGTATTGATCTTTGTTAAATTTAATCTTGTTAAATGCCTCTACTTTTAGAACATTTCAAAGAACCGGACTCAAAAATCTGAAGGTTTAGAACAGAGCGTAGTGACATACTTCTTTAGTCCCAGCAGTCAGGAGGCAGAGGCAGGGCAATCTCTATGAGTTAGAGGATAGCCCATTCTGTATAGTGAGTTCCAGGACAATCAGGGTTACATAGTGAGACCTTGTCCAAAACACAGTCTCAAAGCTTGCTTATAGAAGTTTTTTTGTTTCAGTTTGGTTGTTGGTACTAGTAGTTTTAGCAAGTTTCAGGACAGCCTGGCTTATATAGCAAGATCCTGTCTCAAAAGAGAAAAAAAAGATTACCTGCTAAAGAAAAAGAGACAAAAGGCATAAACTGTTATAAAGTCTGCTTTTCTTTTTTAAAGTAGTTGTATGTTGGTTAGTTTTTTGTTGTTTTGCCAACTTGACACAAGCTTGGGTCATCTGGGAAGAGGAAACCTCACTTGAGGGTGTGCCAGGGTCCAACCCACTGTGGACAGTGGCATCTGAACACAAGTGTTCCTATCTCTATCATATAAAAATGCAAGCTGAATGAGCTGTGGAAAACAAGCCAGTGAGCAGCACTCCTCCATGCCTCTACTCAATTCCTGCCTCCAGGTTCCTGCCCTGACTTCCCATCATGGTGAAGTATAAGCAGTAAAATGAAATAAACCCTTTCCTCCTCAAGTTGCTTTTGGTCATGAAGTTCATCAGAGCATAAAAAGCAAACTAAAACTAGTTGATTTTGTATATTAGGTCCTTACCAGATATCCATCATATGGAGCATCCTCATATAAATAATTTTTTGGGGTAGAGTCTCACTATGCAGTCCTACTAACTGGCCTGAAACTCATAGATGTAATAGTCTTATTAAATAAGAAACACAGAACTAAATGCAGAGTTAAAAGCCCAAGAGGTCAGAGCAGTAATTAAGAGCTGATACTAAAAAAAACCTTTCTTAGCCAGGCGGTGGTGGCGCATGCCTTTAATCCCAGCACTCGGGAGGCAGAGCCAGGTGGATCATTGTGAGTTCGAGGCCAGCCTGGACTACCAAGTGAGTTTCAGGAAAGGCGCAAAGCTACACAAAGAAACCCTGTCTCGAAAAAACCAAAAAAAAAAACCTTTCTTACCCTTCGCTCCCGCTGTTGTCCTTCCCCTCAGAAAGAGAGCTACTTCCTGTGTATCTGTCTTTTTATTGACTTTCTGTACTGCCTTCTCATTGGTTGTAAACCCAACCACATGACCTCCTCGTCACTGCCTGTCTATACAGACCTCCAGGTCTTCTATGGTTGGTATTGAGATTAAAGGCATGTGTCTCCATGCTGGCTGTATCCTTGAACACACAGAGATCTGCCTGTCATGTGATCAGGATTAAAAGCATGCGCCACCACCGCTTGGCTTCTGCTATGGCTTGCTCTTAGCTCTGACCCCCAGGCAACTTTATTTATTAACATACAAATAAAATCACATTTCAGTACAAATAAAATATCACCATAGAAACTGTGTAGACCAGGCTAGCCTAGAAATCACAGCAGTCTGCTTGCCTCTCTGCCTTCTGAATGCTGACACACATCAAACAAGTGTGCCACCATGCCCAGCTAACTGATTATTTCTTGAAAGAGAATTTTGCTGTCAAGTTGAGGCTATCAACATAGTTATAATAAAAGATGAAATTGAAACAGATGTTTTCTTCATTGTAATACTGAACTGATGCATATTTTGCCTTCTTGTCCCATCTTATTCATTGAGATGACTAATACCACATATTAAACAGATCTAAGAATGCCACTTGATGGGTCACACCTATAATCACAGAACTGGAGGGGCAGAAATAAGAGGATCACCTCGAATTCAAGGCCTGTCTGAGCTCTACATAACTGAGTTCCAGGCTAGCCGGAGCTACTGGGTGAGACTCCACCTCAAATCAATCATTCAGTGTATGTTTGTTTTTTTATTAAGAGAGGGTCTCATGTCACCCAGGCTGGCCACAGACTTGCTAAGTAGCTACATAGGATGACCTTTAGCTTCTCAAAGACTGTCTCACCCCAAGTTCTAGACTACCACACCCAGTTTCAGTGTGCAGGGATCAAACTTAGAGCTTTGGGCATACTAGAATGCTCTCTGCCACATCCAGTTATCCAGAAATCTGTTCCTTGGTGGTGGTGGTTCTTTTTTTTTTTTTTTTTGGATGTGTGGGGGTTGATGGTGGTTTATCATTTGGAAGAGTTCTCTGGCCTCTGTTTGTTCTTCCTTTTTAAAAATGACTGTTATTGTTGTGCTGGGTCTCAAACCTCGGGTCTCACATAGGCTGCCTCCCCAGCCCATGGTGCTTCTGTTCTTAATTCTTCAAGAGAAAGATTTAGTATTACCACTAGTTAGTAACTATAGGTTCATTATGCCTTATCTGAAATACTTGGGACTAGAAGTATTTCCAGCTCCATGGTTTTGTTTGACGTGAGAATTCTTATATATACACACAGTGAGAGTTCTTGATGTGATGGGACCTAACTAAGGTAAGCGTGGAATCTATCTATATACTCAGCTGGGAGATCATCTGTATTATATATTTTATTTTGTTTTATTATGTGTCTGGGCATTTTTCCTGCATTTATGTGCACATGTACATGCCTAGTACCCGTGGCAGCCAGAAGAGGGTGTCAGATCCCTGGACCTGGAATTAAAGCTGCCATGTGGGTGCTGGGAACCAAACCCAGCCCTCTGCAGGTACAGCCAGTGTGACCACTGAGCATCTTTGGAATATAAGGTGGTTTTTTGTTGTTTTGTTTTATTTTTTGAGACAAGGTCTCACTATGTAGCCCTGACTGTCCTGAAACTCACTCTGTAGACCAAGCTGGCCTTGAACTCAGATCCACTTTAATCCACTTGGATCAAAGATGTGCACCACCGTGCCCAGCCACTGTAAGGTGTTTAGAACTTTATTTACATTGTAGCAGGGGGTGGCTTGCACATAACATGGACCACTTGTAGGAGTGCTCTCCTTCTGCCATTGGGTCCAGGATCAGAGTCAGGTTCTGTGTAAGTACATTTCCCCTGCTGAGCCATTTTGCTGGCCTAAATTGCACAGTATTTTTAGTGTGCCTTTGTTTTGACTGTGGTCTATTATACGGCATCAGTTTTTTAATTTTCCATGTGTGGTATAATAGTGTAGTCTCAGGGCTCAGAAAGTTCCAGGTTTTGGAGCATTTCATATTTCTGACTGAGGATTCCAACCTGTATTGTACAACGTTTTAAAGAAAAGTAGTATATGGCATGGTGAGTAAGAGTGTTCTAAAGCCAACCTTATGGATTAAATCTCAGTTCTGCCACTTTCTAGCTGTGCAACTTTAGGTAAGTTACTTAACCTTTCTGTGCTTCATCTGCTTCACCCATTAAGTGGATATAGTTGTCTTGTGAGCATTAAATGACTAAGTATGAAATGCCTAGAATAATGCTTCACAGTGCAGGCTGTCTCAGGTGACCTTCAGCACTTTAACAATATGATCAGTGTCACTTTTTTTAGCCATCATTAGTGTATACAGCAATGCATTTTATTCTGTTTTTTTTTGTTTGTTTGTTTTTTGTTTTTTTTTTTTTAAAAAAACCTTCAAACTATTCTTTTTAACTGGATACTCAGTTCATATTGAATTGTACATATTGGTTTTACCTTGAGACCAGGGTAAAAAGAGAGAAATGTATGATTTCTTAGAAACAACTTGTCTGGGGAAGCTTTGTGGGTAAGAGTACTTGTTCCTCTAAAGACCGGAGTTCAGTTCCTAGTACCCATGTTGGGTGGCCCCACGGGATTCAATACCCTCTTCTGGCCTCCTTGGATACTTGCCTGCTTATGTGAACATTCACAACCAGATACAGAAATAATAAAAATATTTCTAAAAAAACGATTAAAATTTTAAAGAAATAATATGTATCATTTAATCTCTTCATGACTTGAAAAGAGTGACAGGTAGTCCCTAATGGGGAACAGTGTTTTTCCCATCAGATAAAATTCTAGAGAAAGATCAAGGTTTTCTTTATGGATTTAAAATAGTATTCATGACATAATGGGCTTACTCTTACTATTTAAATAATAAAATTCAGGTTATCTAAATATAATACTGTAATTTAAACTCTTATCATTGTTTAACCTCCAATTGGAATTTTACATTGTAAACCCCCTCCCCAATAGTCACTAGTAATGTTTTAGTTAAAGTGGTCTGCCGGGTTGTCAGCGCTGATAAAAGCTCCTGTGATTCCACACTTAGTTTCCGTGTGCATGCTTCTCAGTTGGTGCTTTAGGTTATTCAGGTTTTTGTTCAACATTTATATTTTTATCTTTAAATTTTTTTCTTTCCTTCCTAGGGTATTACATATGACCATGTAGAATTAAATGTGTATTTGAATGGGAAAAACATGCATTGTCCAGCATCAGGTATACGAGGGACAGTGTATCCAGTTGTATATGGTAAGCTAATATGTTACTCATCTATTAGTAGATATATGTTAACTGTTATTTGGCTATTTATATTAATTTTATAGTTATCATTCAGAAGTCTGAACAAGTTGCTAATAAGGACATTTCATATGGAATGTACTCAGACCACTACATTACCTGCAGAATTAAGGATAATACTATATATATATATATATATATATATATATATATATATATATATATATAATATTTATATATAAATATATATAATATATATTTAGTTTATTTGTTTATATATTTATATATAAATATATACAATATATATATAGTTTATTTGTTTGTTTTGTTTTGTTTTTCAAGACAGGGATTCTCTGTGTAACAACCCATGCTGGAACTCACTTTGTAGACCAGGCTGGC